GATTAAATTTGAAATACAAAAATAAAAAGGACCAACATGTACCTTTTACATTAGAAGGAAAAAAAAATGACCACTAGTTATAAATTGTCCATCAACCATTGTCAGACGTCACACCAAGATAAAGATGATGCAATAACACTTTAAGCTATACAATAAAAGATCAGGTATGGCTACTGAAAGGCATTCTATGTATCATCTAAAAAATATGGGTGTCTTCAATGCACTAATGTGTGAAGAGGATGCACCAATATCTTTTTTGAATAAAAAAATAATTATTTAATTTAAAAAGATCATGATACCATTAATGAATGTCACACCTAATACAGCAGTGACCTATAAAATAAAAGAAAATATCTAATATTTTATTCTTAGAGGAAAATATTTTATTTAAAAAGTTGCTACCTACTTAGTATTATAATCATTAAAAATTTTAATTGTTTTTCAAAAGGAAAGAATTGGTTCAACCCTAAAGTGTCATACTTTAGATAGATTGCATTGCTAATTTTGTTTTAAATTATTATAGGTTATTGTATTAGATTATCAATGATTTGTCTATAATATTTTTTACTCCAGCGTTAATGCGTTAATAAATGTTGATGTTGATATTTTTTTAGTCTTCCATCAATAAATACTTAATTCGATTCTTCTGATTTGATATAAGTAAATACCCAAATTGATCCTCATCTTGAATCTATTTGCCTTAAACATTTTTTAATTGAGATTTTTAAAATGATTATTGTCGCATAATGATAGAAGTGGACTTTGAATCCTTCCAACCAGATGAATTTTTGGTATTTTATATATAATTCTATCTGGACCAACGTCGTGATGAATATGGCACAAAGGATGCCAACAGCAGTATCATGGAAAGAGTGGTAATATTGGCCTCACCCAAGACCCTGTTAAAACATATAGAAAGCTCAACTCAAAATAAAAAGGCCATGATTTATGTGGTTTTGGGAACACTTTTTTAGTTGTTTCATATTATTCTAAACCTCTATGTATTTAGTGCATCTGATGATTCGGTGCATAACATTTTTGAGAAAATATTTTTTAATTTTTAATACTAATACATTAAAATTATTAAAAAATATTTAGAATATCAATTTAATATCTTTCCAAAGAAATTTAAAAAAATACTTAAAAAAACGGGTTGAACTGCAAAATAAAATAAAAGAAAAATACATATACTATATATCAAATGATTTTTTTATGAAGAATCCAGAATAAATAATAAAAAAAATTAAAATGACGACACGTATAACGAAAAGAAGACATTTCATATTCAAAAACACACCAAACCAGCTTTTATTATATTTAATTCACCACATTTATTACTTTTTTTTCCCCCTTAACCCTTTAAAGGCACAAAAGATATTAGAACCGTCGAATAATCATAAGTCTCATGCACAACAGCCTCATACAGTCTACCAGCCCCTATCACTGCCAAAAGAAGCCGATAATCCGTGCCTTCTTTGACCTGCAATTCCCCTTTTTGGATACTATAAAGCCTCAACTCGGATCCAGCTTGCCTGTTATGTTCTTTTACAGCGAACTCTGCAATCTTTACCACGTGATTGTTTTCCAAGTTCTTTATTGGAATCCATCCGTCTGCCAGCGTTACATCAACCACCACCATAGTTATGGCGATGAAGAGGAGGGAGAGGGCTGGTGTTTGTCGTTTCAAGAATTTGAAGGAATTGCGAAGAATGAATGAGAGGGAATGGCTGTGGTATGGTATTAATAGGGTGTGTTTGCTTTTGGTGAACATGGAGGAAGGACAAGATTTTGGAAAGAAATTAAACCGTGAGAAATCTTAGAAAATAGAAATAAATCAATGCTCGTTGATTTTATAAACTTGGGAGTTTTTTAAAAATAGCACCTTCATGTATATATGTTAATTGTCCATAACAATTCCCAATTTATTTTAAAATTCTTTTTTTTATTGGTTCCTATTATATCTCTCTTTTTAATGAGTTTCAGAATATATCTAGCACCCATTTTGCAGAACTTTCCATATATAATCCCAATATGTCATTCACATGAGACAATTATGAACAGTTTTTCTTTGAATTTGACTTTCAATAAGAAGGAAAATTTATTAAGACTTCAAGATTTCCATTGCCTCGGTGAATGGAAGTACACACCAATATTAAGTCTTTAACGTCTCCAAAAAAAAAAAAAAACAACAGAGAGAGGATAATGGTATAAAAATAAAAAAAAAAAGAAAAGAAAAAAGAAAGAGTTAACGAAACTGAATACTATCCTTATATGATAGCTTCTGAAACCGTGTAGAAGGAACTTTTGCGACATTGGACGGCTGAAAATTATTGCGAGAATGAGTGGAAATGACTCGAAGTCAAAAATAAAAAAAATTGCATGTGAGGATGCGGCATTGGGAAGGCATTGAACCAGGAGAGATGTCTTGTGTGTTTTGAATTTGGCTATAGCACCTAATCTAGAAATAATATTTATAATATTAATAATAATATTAAACTTATATGACCCAAATTTAAGTGGATGTGACTGTAATACCATATTCAATAACCTTAGATGTAAATCTGGCTGTAAGGATGTGTCATAAAAATATATAATTAAATAAATTAATTAAATAGAAAAAAAAAGAAAAAAAACTAATAGAAAGAAAAAAATAATGAAAAAAAATTGAATTAATTAAGTTAACCCTTTAAAGATAACTAAATAGAAAAAACATTGATGGATTACCCATAATTAATTGGGCTAGCTCGTCAAACCTGGAATCTGTGTCATGAAAGTTTGATAACTGAATAAAAAAATTACTTAAAAAAAAATAAGACAAACAAAAGACATCAGTTTTTTCATTGTAGATTGTACTTTACAATCCACAATTAAAGGCATAAAAATAAAAATAAAAAACAAATTCTTTAATTAATGAACTAAATTGAAAAAAAGACATCAACCAAAAACCAAATAGAAAAAAATTATATCAATGAACTCAATAAAAAAAAATATTAATTCAAAAGAAAAAAATAACAGAAAAAAACTTACAAGAAAAAAAAACTACTGAAGAAGAAGAAAAAATAATCTAAATTAACTGAGTTAACCCATCACACCTAAGATCCATGTCATAAAAGTTTGATAACTAAATAGAAAAATATTTAATATCAACAAACTAAATAAAAAAATTAATTAAAAAAAAATATCATACTTTTCACCATGGACTACACTATACAGTCTACAGTAAAAGTCATAAAAAGAAAAAAAAATTAAAGGTATCAACATTTTCACTGTAGACTACATACAATATTAAAAGATAAAATCGGATGGAAAAAAACTAATGAGAAAAAAAAAATTGAATCAGCTAAGTTAACTTGCTAAATTAGATTAACCTGTCAAATTTAGGATTCATGTCATGAAAGTGTGATAACTAAATGGAAAAAAAATTTAATATTAATGAACTAAATTAAAAAAAGATTAATTAAAAAAAGATTAATTAAAAAAAAAGCAAAGAGAAAAAACCATACAGGAAGAAAAAAACAATTGAAGAAAAAGAAAAAAAAATCTAAATCAATTGGGTTAAACCATCAAACCCAGGATTCGTGTTATGAAAGCCTACTAATTGAATAGAAAAAAATTAATATTAAGAAATTATAGACAAAAAAATAAACTAATAATTAAACAAAGAAAAAAAACCAATAGGAAGAAAAAAACTAACGAAGAAAAAGAAAAAAATCAGAATTAACTGGATTAAACTTTCAAATCAGGTTAACCCATTAAACTTGGGATTTGCATCATGAAAGTTTGATAACTAAATAGAAAAAAAAAATTAACAGGTTTACCCGAAATTAACTAGGTTAGCCCATCAAACCAAGTTAACTTGTTAGGTTTAAGATATGTGTCATGAAAGTTTGATAAATAAATAGAAAAAAATTTAACATTAATAAACTAAACTAAACCAAACAAAAAAAACTAATGAAAAAAATCCAGGTTAACTTGTCAAATCAGGTTAAGCTATCCAATCTGGGATTCGTATCATGTAAGTTTAATAACTAAATAATTTTTTTTAATATTAATAAACTAAATCAAACAAAAAAATCATTAAAAAAATTAAAAAAAAAACAGTTCTATAATATAATATAATAATTATAATACTATAATATATTAATAAGAGGAAAGTGAAAGGCACGGGAAAGCTTCAATACTTTCCCCGCACCTTTAAAAAAAAATTTAGATTAACTCGTAAAATTACATTAACTAATCAAACCCAAAATTTATATCATAAAAATATGATAATTAAATAAAAAATTTTAATATTAATAAATTAAATAAAAAAATCATTGAAAAAAAAACAATTTATAATATAATAATAAGGTGAAGTGTTCTATAATATTGGAAAGTGAAAGGCCTGGGGAAGGTTTTAGTATTTTTCTCACTCCTTTTAGAGTATTATTTAATTAATGATATTTTAATAATTATTTTTTAAAAAAATAAATAAGAAAAAAATTTAGATGAAGATATTGTTATTATTTTTAATGGTTTGAAAAAATAAATTAAAAAATATATATATTTCAAAAAATCGAAGGTAATATTTATATTTTTCCAAACTCATTATGACAGACTTGGACAAACATCCATTGAGTATTTATTGAGTTGGGATGAAATTGCAATTTCAAGACATGATTGCGAAGATAAAAGATTTAAATATACATAAAGTATGAAGTATCATTTCCGCCGATTGACTTTTTAATAACATGTGTATCAAGGAACATTAACTCATTTCCATTTTGCTAGATTTTCTGTGGACTTTCTTCCAAGAATCTTATCCTTGTGGAAGATTATAAGGTTATCAACATGTTTATGAAGGAACATCAATCCCTTTCCTTTCAAAAATCCATATCACAAGGAAAATTAATTCATTTTTTTCCTTTCAAAAATCTTATTACCCTCTATAAAACGAAACCATTCCCTCTCAATCATTCAACGCCATTCTTTCAAATCGTTGAAATAGCAAAAACGCTAGAATGAAACGACAAACACTAGCCCTCTCCTTCTCCCTCCTCTTCATCGCCATAACTCTGGCGGTGGTTGACGCGTTTTCGGCTGGTGGATGGACTCCAATAAAGAACTTGAATGACAAGCAAACTATAGAGATTGCAGAGTTCGCCATTGCAGAGCATAACAAGCAAGCCAGCTCTAATTTGGAGCTTGATAGTATCGTTAAAGGACTTGAAAGATATGCAGGTGATAACAAGAATTATCAGCTTGTTTTGACAGTGAAAGGAGGAAAAGCTGATGAACAGTATGAAGCTGATGTGGACGTTTCGGGGGATTTGAAGGCTCTGATTCTGTTTGTGCCTTTAAAAGGTTAAGAAAAAAAATATGAAATCTAATGTGGTGAACAATTATGTGTTTTTGAGAAATTGGAGACATCAATGATAGTTATAATAAAAGTTTAATAATATTGTATTCCATAATATCATGTTCAAAATTTAATAATAATTTTAAATTCAATGATCTGGATCAAATAAGAGAAAAAAAAAAAGATAAAAAAGAGGAGTTAATAACAAGTACGAGGCATTTGTTGATGAGAAACCTGGGGAAGATTCGAAGGGCATGACGTAGTTTTAATTAAAAGGTTGAGAAAATGTACCCTCAAGTTTAATGTATTAATTTCAGTTTTTTTTTTTTTTAGAAATTTGACATGATAATGATATATACATACAAGCTATTTCACCTGTGATTCGACATGGGTTATATATTAATTTAAAAAAAAAACTTTAACATGTAGGCTTTTTTAAAATGTTTTTTAATTAAAAAATTTTAAATGTAAATTAAAAAATTTGTGGAAGTATCTAATTAAATAAACTGATATTTGTCTATGTAAATAAATAAATAAATAAATCATTAATAATAACTAAAAATAAAAATAAAAAACTAGAGAAATATATATATATACACACACATACCAAAATATTTGGTATTACAATATAAAACATTTAATGATTGTGTATTGAATTTGTTTTTCAAAATTTGTGTTTTTATGAAATTAAATGATAATATAAATAAACACATATGAAACTAATTGAATAAAATAAAAAAAATATTTGCAAGACTTCACATATTAAAAATATTATTTTTTATTTTTATTTTTATTTTAAAAAATAAAGTTCATATGTATAAAATAAAAAATATAAATAAATTAGAATAATATCTTTAAAAATTAAATACACATAAAATAATTAAAAAAACTTCTATTAAAAAAAAGTTTGCAAAACTACTAGCCTAAACCATGAGTCCAGGATAACCCGATAAAAACAAATTGAAGATAACCACAATACCAATCCTTTTTTTCATAAAAAATAAGGTCAAATATGAAATGAAAAAAAAAATCAAAATAAAGAATATTAACTTATATTAATTTTTCAAACCTATGATTCAGGTTTATGAACTGAAAGCATTACAAATAGAAAAAAAAAACTTTAAAGCTTTATCCCCAACAAATTAAATATCAAAGGATAAAACTAATAAAAAATTAGTTACGCAAAAGGATCTAACAAAATAAATTATAATTAAAAGAAAGAGGGTGAAAATCAAAATGAAAAATAAATTAAAGGGCAACAAAAAATTTTTGATTGGAGGATTAAATTGAAAATAAAAATAAATTTAACAAAGGAAAGAAAATTAAAATAATGATGGTCAAATTAGAAAAATAATACTCCATAAACTCTAATTGACATACAAAATCAAAACCAATAAAACTTTAACAAAAAAACCAAGAAAAAATAGAAAAATAAAGAATAAGGATAAAAAAATTAAAAAAATAGTATATGAAAAATTATAATTAAATGGTGAAATTGAGAAAAAAAAAACAAAACCTTTTTAAAGAGCTAAGATAAAAAATCAAAATAATAAAGATTAAATTTGAAATACAAAAATAAAAAGGACCAACATATATTTTTTACATTAGAAAAAAAAATAATCACTAGTTATAAATTGTTCATCAACCATTGTCAGACGTCGCACCAAGATGAAGATGATGCAATGACACTTTAAGCTATACAATAAAAAGATAAGGGATGGCTATGGAAAGGCATCTTATGCACCATCTAAAAAATGTGGGTGTCTTCCGTGCACTAATGTGTGAAGAGGATGCACCAATATCTTTTTTGAATAAAAAAATAATTATTCAACTTAAAAAAATTATGATACCATTATTGAATGTCACACCGAATATAGCAGTGATCTATAAAATAAAAAAAGATAACTAATATTTTATTCCTAGAAAAAAATATTTTATTTAAAAAGTTGTTATCTAATATTATAATCATTAAAAATTTTAATTGTTCTTCAAATGAAAAGGATTGGTTCAACTCTAAAGTGTCATACTTTATATAGATTGCATTACTAGTTTTATTTTAAATTATTATAGGTTATTGTATTATATTATCAATGATTTATCTATAATATTTTTTGTTCCAGCTTCGATCAATGTTGATATTGATGTTGATATTTTTTTAGTTTTCCATCAATAAATACTTAATTCGATTCTTCTGATTTGATATAAGTAAATACCCAAATTGATCCTCATCTTGAATCTATTTGCCTTAAACATTTTTTAATTGAGATTTTTAAAATGATTATTGTCGCATAATGATAGAAGTGGACTTTGAATCCTTCCAACCAGATGAATTTTTGGTATTTTATATATAATTCTATCTGGACCAACATCGTGATGAATATGGCACAAAGGATGTCAATAGCAGTATCAATGGAAAGTGTGGCAATATTGGCCTCACCCAAGACCTTGTTAAAACATATAGAAAGCTCGACTCAAAATAAAAAGGCCATGATTTCTGTGGTTTTGGGAACACTTTTTTAGTTGTTTCATATTATTCTAAACCTCCATGTATTTAGTGCATCTGACGACACGGTGCATAATATTTTAGAGAAAATATTTTTTAAATTAAAATAATATTTTTTAATTTTTAATACTAATACATTAAAATTATTAAAAAATATTTAGAATATCAATTTAATATCTTTCCAAAGAAATTTAAAAAATACTTAAAAAAAGAAGGTTGAACTGCAAAATAAAATAAAAGAAAAATACATATACTATATATCAAATGATTTTTTTATGAAGAATCCAGAATAAATAATAAAAAAAATTAAAATGACGACACGTATAACGAAAAGAAGACATTTCATATTCAAAAACACACCAAACCAGCTTTTATTATATTTAATTCACCACATTTATTACTTTTTTTTCCCCCTTAACCCTTTAAAGGCACAAAAGATATTAGAACCGTCGAATAATCATAAGTCTCATGCACAACAGCCTCATACAGTCTACCAGCCCCTATCACTGCCAAAAGAAGCCGATAATCCGTGCCTTCTTTGACCTGCAATTCCCCTTTTTGGATACTATAAAGCCTCAACTCGGATCCAGCTTGCCTGTTATGTTCTTTTACAGCGAACTCTGCAATCTTTACCACGTGATTGTTTTCCAAGTTCTTTATTGGAATCCATCCGTCTGCCAGCGTTACATCAACCACCACCATAGTTATGGCGATGAAGAGGAGGGAGAGGGCTGGTGTTTGTCGTTTCATAGTAACGTTTTTGTCGTTTCAAGAACTTGAAGGAATTGCGAAGAATGAATGAGAGGGAATGGCTCTGGTGTGGTATTAATAGGGTGTGTTTGCTTTTGGTGAACATGGAGGAAGGACAAGATTTTGGAAAGAAATTAAACCGTGAGAAATCTTAGAAAATAGAAATAAATCAATGCTCGTTGATTTTATAAACTTGGGAGTTTTTTAAAAATAGCACCTTCATGTATATATGTTAATTGTCCATAACAATTCCCAATTTATTTTAAAATTCTTTTTTTTATTGGTTCCTATTATATCTCTCTTTTTAATGAGTTTCAGAATATATCTAGCACCCATTTTGCAGAACTTTCCATATATAATCCCAATATGTCATTCACATGAGACAATTATGAACAGTTTTTCTTTGAATTTGACTTTCAATAAGAAGGAAAATTTATTAAGACTTCAAGATTTCCATTGCCTCGGTGAATGGAAGTACACACCAATATTAAGTCTTTAACGTCTCCAAAAAAAAAAAAAAACAACAGAGAGAGGATAATGGTATAAAAATAAAAAAAAAAAGAAAAGAAAAAAGCTATAAAAAAAAAAGAAAAAATAAAAAAGAAAGAGTTAACGAAACTGAATACTATCCTTATATGATAGCTTCTGAAACCGTGTAGAAGGAACTTTTGCGACATTGGACGGCTGAAAATTATTGCGAGAATGAGTGGAAATGACTCGAAGTCAAAAATAAAAAAAATTGCATGTGAGGATGCGGCATTGGGAAGGCATTGAACCAGGAGAGATGTCTTGTGAAATCCGTCGTTGTAAAACTCAACCAAGGATCGATTTAAGATAAGAGATTGGATTAACTCTGAAAAAATTACAAAAAAATAATATAAAATGATTTTATTTTGATTAAATTTTTAATTAAATGAGGTATACGTTTAACCCAATTAGCAGCTAAACTCAGAATCTTAACTTGAGCTTTCTAATGCATTTTGGTCCATTCCAAAAGAGATAGATCTTCCCTATATATCCCAATCTTAAAATTAATTAATTGCTTGATATTTTCTTATTGGAAACATTATTTTACAATTTAAGAGTTTTTGCATCGAGATGCTTTTGGTTAAAAAATAAATTAATTCTTTATTATTGGATTATATATAATATTAATTATAAGTTTCATCAAAGAAAAATATCAATCATATATATCAATAACTACTGTTAAAAAATGAAAAATAGTTATTAGAATTAAAATATTATATTGTTAAAAATTAATATATAAACTTATCAATTAATAAGACCAAGACTTTAATATTATATTAAAAAATTATTTAAATCTAAAAATCTTAATAATTAAATGAAATTTTAAGATATAATTTATATAATTTTTTATAATATTCCTAGTTAAAATATATATTCACCTGAAAAATACAATAGTTTTTTTCTTGAACAACGATTGTGTAGATAGAATTAGCTAAGTTCCTTCATATTTATAGAGATAGGAGATATAATTTACATGGACATATTAAATCTCACTTTTAACTGCTTTGATAGTAGTCTGTATATTTTCCCTTCCACTCGTAGAATGGGGAAGAAATATACTTTAGAGATACTACTAATTGTTGAGAAATGAAACTCTATATATCGTTGTCCAAAGATTTTTTTAATTCAATTATTTATATTGAAATTAAATTAAAATTTTAAATTCTTAGAATGATCATATTTCTAAAAGATATTACGCATTTTACACCTATTTATATCTAAATATATTTTCACTGTATATGTTTCAGGATCAAAACCTTTGTAAATAAATTTAATCAAACTAGCTAGTTCTAGGCAATGCTTTAAAACTCCACATGGTAGGTTAATCTATGATCTAGATTAAGTTGAATTTTAATAAAAATAAAAAGGAAATTGATTTAGTGAGACTCAATAAAAATTTAATTATTTTTAATTTTTATAAAATAAAAAAATTAATTTAATCTAAATTAATCTGAATTACTCCATCTAATAAAAAAAAAACTATGAAGAAATGAATCTTATCCTTGAAACATAATCTAACCCTTTAGGACAACGTTTTCCACTTCTACCTCAGTTACTTACTGTAGTGTAGCCGTTTGTGTCGACTACCAGTCCGTCTATGTAAGGCCCAAAAAAAGAAACAGAACCGTCGGATTTAACACAAACAAAATCAAGCACCCATTTTCCTCTCTCGTAAAAATCAAATCCCATAAGAACTCAATAATCCAAAAGCAAAATTGGTGGCTAAAAATAAGTAAAACGTGAACCCTTTTAGTAGATAGAAAGCAATCACTTTCTTGTGTTTTGTGGGGTTTATAAAGGGAGGAAAGATAGGAGTCTGCGTGTCAAAACGAGCTGCTGCAGCAGCACGGGAGGAGGTAGTGGTGAAGAAATTCTCTCCACCACCACAATCTCCTGCAGCGGCAGCAGCAGTAGCGACAAAGAGACATTCAGGGCTGTTGAGTTCGAAATCGGGACAGTTAGTGGGTGATTCGAATAGGATGAAGGGACTTTTCAAGTCAAAGCCGAGGACTCCTGTCGATGTTTTTAGACAGACTCGCGATCTTTTAATCTATGTTGATCGGGGTTCATCTTCTTTGTCTGATCCAAAACGAGAAGAGAAGGTTGGCATTATCTTTATTCATTTCTGTATAATTTTAAGTGTTTGTGTTTGTTTTTTCTCTGAATTGGGTGGGTTTTGATTGATCTGAGATTGTTTTGGGATCAGTGTTGTTTTTATTTTTCTGTTTTGGATGCGAAAGTTTGAAACTTTGTGAAAAACGTGAAGATGTTTAAGTGATGGTTTTTGATGGAAGATTTGATTTTAGATTAGGGTATGTTATGATATGCTGTGATCTTTACCTAAATAAGTGCTTATTTGATTGCGATGGGGTTCTTTTGCTGATTAAGTTTAACTTCAGCGTGGCTGGGTGGGTGTGTTATGAGAGGATTTTGATTTCATGGCAGTGAGTTCAGTGTAAAGATTTTAACTTCTTAATGGCTTTATCTGTCGAGGGATTCAAAGTGGAAACTTTGATTGTAGGTTTGCGAATGAGGTCTGATCTATGGTGCTATATTTGTCATTGATTTGTTTCAACTTGTTTGTTCACGGTAGAGGAATAGCCCTACTGAATTTGGTGAGTGTAGGTATAAGAGTGTGATGAACATGCATCAGGTTCGTCATATAATTTCTTGCTTGTGTTTCTTGTTTTGGTAAGTTATTATCTTTAGTAGGGCTACTGGGACATTTGAGCATTTTATTTGTGGAATCTGATATTTACAGTTATATATTCTAACACAGATGGCAGAATTAGCTAAAAATACCAGGGAGTTAAAGTCAATTCTTTATGGCAATAGTGAATCTGAACCAGTGTCAGAAGCGTGTGCACAATTGACTCAGGAGTTCTTCAGAGAGAACACGCTTCGTCTTTTGATAATCTGTCTTCCAAAATTGAACTTAGAGGTAAGCACTCACAGGATTATTGTTGAGAGCTATGTAGATTGTTATCTTGAATTAGCTATCAGATTTATGAGGTGATAGTGTTCTTTTTCCTTGTTCTTTCATAATGGTTTGGTTTAGTGACACTTGTGCTTTATGCTTGCCTGGGTGAATCTGTTGGATTAAATTCCCAACTGGATGGAATTTACCCTTAACTGTGTCATTTAGCATGAAGATGTTTCCTTTTGCAGACCCGAAAAGATGCCACTCAGGTTGTTGCAAATCTACAAAGGCAACAAGTTAATTCAAGATTGATTGCATCAGACTACTTGGAGAAAAATACAGATCTTTTAGATATTTTGATAGCAGGGTAAGCCATTAACCCTGGAGAGTGTTGGGGGTTGAGATTACAATGATTCCATTCAATAGGTCATCGAATATTATGGAGTTGGTTCATGGGTTAAATTTTTAACCTGCTGCATAGTTTCTGAAATCTAATGGATAGCTATTGGTATCTTAATTATCACATCCCATTTAGTTTGAGCATCGATTATCTGTATAAAGATTCCATTTATGATCCATTTGACGAGTGATGCCTGTCTTCTAGATGTATGTCTGGAAGTTGTATTTAGCTGTTCTGATTTTTATTTTTGAAATATCTATAATGCAAGAGGATTTTGCTGTTTACAAAATCTTTAAATGATTGTCTTGTATGCTATACTACTTGGCATCTTCTAACTCTTGTGTTTTGCTTCTTTAGTTATGAAAACACAGACATGGCTTTGCACTATGGTGTAATGTTGAAGGAGTGCATCCGTCACCAGAGTGTTGCAAGGTAAGCAAAATCAACTGGGTGGTTTAATCTATATCCAACTATCAATATCATCTCTGATTGAGACAGTAATCTTTTCCTGAAAGTCATAAGAATTTGTTTGTCTGTTTAGACTTTGTATACTGAAAATTATGATCCATTTATCTTTACATAAACATGTCAAAGTCTATTGTGAAGTCAACATCTAGAACACTCATTTTAATTTGTTGATTTGGAACTGCTTTTATCAACTATCAGCTTCTATGTTCCTTCTTCTGTTTTTTTTTTTTTTAAATTTTCTCAATGGCATTCTTCTGTTTTTTTTTTTTTTTAAATTTTCTCAATGGTGTTTTGCCAATGTTTTGTGCACTCATTTATCTGGTTTGATGGAAGATACGTCCTGGAATCACCACACGTGAAGAAATTCTTTGATTACATACAACTTCCGAATTTTGACATTTCTGCAGATGCTGCTGCAACTTTCAAGGTTAAGTATGATTGACAGAGATATAATAATTCACTTCTTTTGATCCCTCTTTCCTCTGTCTTTAGCTATTTGAATTTGTTTTTCTTCATACAATGTGGTCTTTTTTTTTTCATCAACTGTCAAAGGTTAACACTAAATGACTTTAAAATTCTGCTTGTTGCATTAGAGAATTTGTGAGAGTATCTTCTGTACTGCCATGCTACAATGTTGGACATGTTCATTATTGTACTGCATCCTTGCACGCAACTATACTCAAA